GGGCTTGATGTGAAATTGTGTCCCACAAAAAACCGACTTCAATTCTTACAAAACCTGTTATTTTGATTTAAAAACTAAACTGCTGAACCGATGTTGATAATATTTTTATGGGATCAATCTATAAGTATATTTTTTCAGATAAAAAAGGAATTTTCCAAATCGTTTTTAAAGCCGACGGTATTTTAAAATAACGTAAAAAAATTACAACCGTATTGAGAATCTCTATCTTTTAGAAGTCGGCGAAAATATACGAAAATTTACCGAATGGCCACGTAATAACGCGATTACGTCGCCAATTTTAAACCGGGAATAATTTTAATTGAATTTTTAGCAATCAGTGTATGTTGGTCCCTTCTCATTTTATCATGATTGATATTGCTGTTCTTATTTTTTTTAAATAAAAAACGAAAAAATATTTTATTCCTTTTTTACCAAAAAATTAACATCATATGCATTATCGCAGTGGAGAGCTCGTTGCTTTACTCCAATAAAGTCCCGTGCTCGAGCCTCTCCGGGACAATTTTAGAAACCAACTGTTCTAATTTGGATGAATCTACCATTTTCTATTACCAAATATCTCTTCCCTCCTCCCCCGCCATACATATCTGATTTTTTTTTAATGAATTATAATGAAATAGTAACCCCGCCCGCGCTATTGTTATACACTGGTGGAGCACCAACAAAGGATGATAGGTGAGGAAAAGTGGGGTCATAGCGACAAATTTGACAATAATTAATCATGATGGTTTCCAGGGGGGACCGCGTAGAGGTCGACCTGACAGGTTGTATTGCTAACAATGGGGATTAAAGTGCCCATTACTAAAAATCCTTCTCTCCCTATCTGTTATGTTACCTACCATCAGGTGAATGAGTAATTACCATATTTTCCATGCTACGTCATATTTCCCATCAACGCAAATGTATTACACTAGAGGATTCATTGAATCGTCTCCCTTACAAGGGGATATTGAAGGGCATACATAGTAACTGTCCCTTTGGACTGACCAGAAATCCTCGACCACTATTTACATAATTCGGGGATCAATGGCGGACAGCAAACTTGTTTACAGCGATCTTTAAAGGGTCTGAGGGATGTCGTTTGAGTACCGAATACGGAACTATGACCGTATCTCCTATTTTTAAAGGCCTCGAGAAAGTAGGTCCTCATTGCGTTTGATTTCTTTTTTGTAAATATTTTATCCGATTGCGACATGTCGCCAGTTTTTTTTTTTTGATGTTGGTGAAAATGGTATGGTAACCCCTACCAGGATACGCTGGCGGAGCACCAATGAAGGGTGATAGATGATAATGAAAACAGGCTAGTTAGCCCATCATGATGAATTCATCAGGAATTAACCATGATAGTTTCCAGGGGGAACCGCGAGGAGGTCGACCTGGTTGGGTATATTGCTAGCAACAGGATTCTCAGTGTCCATTACTAACAATCCCTTTCCCCCTCACATGTCGCCAGTTGTGGACTGATTTTTAGAATTTTTTTTATATAAAACAGGGAACAAACACGCACACGGCTCACCTGATAGTCAATGACTACCGCCGCCTATGAGCACCCGCAACACCGGAGAAATTGCAGCCTTTTAAAAAAGAAAATGTTCTTTTCTCGGCACCGTGTGGTCCCAACATAGAATGGACCATCCATTCCTTTCCCGTGGCTGTCGTAAGAGGCGACTAAGGGAACTTAATAATTAATGTATGAACAGCAGCGTCCATCTTAAAATATCACCAAAGCCAACTCACCTGCCAAGCGTGGTAACGACTGGCAAATCTCACCTTATGGAGAAGACATATGCTCAAATGTGGCCGTGTGGTCCCTGCTTAGAATTTTTTTTTATTTTTTTTTATGCAACTTACAATGGCAAACAAGCCGACGGCCCACCGGACGGAAATTGCTAACCGCCGCCTATAGACATGAGCAGTACCATGGACATAACAGAGTGTACTGTTTCGCCCATGATACCCCCCATGCGTTGCCATTCCTGAGGACTCAGGTGTTATTCCTCTATACCCTGTAAATTCACGCCATATCCTACCCTTCAAACCGAATCACAGCCATGCAAACACAACTGCTTCACGGTAGAAACACGAAGGGGACAGAGATACCCAAGCAATCCACTTTTGTACCAAGTCTCCATCTGGTCTACCCCTTCTTTTCCCGTGCGTATCGTAAGGGGACTTAATAGTCGAAGGATGGGCAACAGCGTCACTCTTAAAATATCACCAAAGCTTAACTGGTTTACTAACAAAGCGTGACAAACACTGGCAAATCTCCCCTGAGATTAAGATTTAAGAAAAAGCATAAATAATATAAAGGTAGGTAATAGGTTGGTATTCCTCCAACTTCTTTTCCACCATCAATGTCCAGAGGTCCCAATATATAAATATCAGGGGGGGAAGGGATTGTTAGTAATGGAGACTGGGAATCCCATTGCTAGCAATATACCCAACCAGGTCGACCTCCTCGCGGTTCTCCCTGAAAACTATCATGGTTAATTTCTGATGAATTCATCATGATGGGCTAACTGGCCTGTTTTCATTCTCATCTATCACCCTTCACTGGTGCTCTGCCAGCGTATCCCGGTAGGGGTTACTATACCATTTTCACCTATCAAAAAAAAAATATCGGATCGGTATTCATATTACCCACACCTAGTAGGATATCCACGAAACATCACGTCGTTTATAGGCGCGTGTGTTTACTATCGAAGCCTTTTTTTACGAAGCAATTTACATTTATATTTGTGATTCGTAAAATTAGATTTCCATAGGGCAAACACCGGTGAAGGAACCGTTGTTTGCGTAAAAATTTAATAGCGTCACGTACCTAATGTGTTCGGTCAAGATTCAAAAACTATGTCTGACAGTTTGCAGTTAAATCGACTATGTATTTACTGTAGAACGTAAAAAAATTGTTAAAATGCAAGTCATACAGGAGTGTTATAGATATGCTACATTCTATACTGGCTCTTAATGTGTAGAAAATGGATTGATTTATTTATTCATTCATTCATTTAATCATTCATTCATTCTATCAATCAATCATTCATTCAATCATGCATTCATTCATTTCTTCATTTAATTAAAATATAAAAACGAAATTTGTATATATACAATAAAAATTGTAAAAATGGCGTGCTTAATACCGTATCAAATTCTCTACCAGCTAATAATTAGGTAAAAACAGAAAGCGTTTGAGGGCAGTGGCGTACTCATATAGCTAGTGATGGGATCTAAAAGCCCCATTGCTAGCAATACGCTTTATCAGATCAACCCCCACATGGTGCCCATCTGAAAAACATCGTAGTTAATTCTTGTTGAATTCATCACAATGGGCTTACTGACCTACTTTCATTCATGCTTATCATCTCTCACTGGTGCCCCACAAGTGTATACCGATAACGCAGTAAGCATGGGAAACACTGGTACTGCTGCTAAGCCAGACAGACGGACAGATAACATTTCTACAAAATATTATTTTGACTCTCTGTCGAGGTTTTTCAAAAGACTAAAGCATGAGGTTCTAAAAAAATAGATAAAAAGATTTTTTCAGGGTAGACAATGCACTCTTGGTATTCCAAATGTCATAGGCTTTGGTACACGCTTACTATCAGGTCAGCCGTAAGCTTGTTTGCCACCTTAGTAGTATAAAAAAATCGCACCATAAGGTTTCCTTTGTACCTTTTTGGTAAACCCAAAAAATTGCACGTCAACCAACAGTTTGCTAATTGTTCTTTGAACTTTTTTGGTAATTGACGCTCCATCTATGCCTAGATGTAAGTTTTTGGCTACTTTTGCCATCAAACTTGCCAGTTTACTCATTTCTGAGTCATGAGAAAAAATTTGACGGGATTCAGGAACCACAGCAGCTCGACCCATCTCCCAGGGAACAAGGGTCGTGCCATAAGGATATAAATTATGTTTGCTTTATTATATCATAAGGAACATTGCAAAGGGATACACTTCAATAATTCATTGACCCCTTTCAAATAACGGCTGTCAGGAATAATTTGTCGGTAATATTATTATTTAGGTCCTTCTTTTTGGGGTTGCCCAAAAAAAATGTCATATATAACTTTAATAATTACTGAAATATTTCTCAAACTATAAATTTTAAATTTGTATCGTTTTTAAATATTTTCAACTTCCAGTATTGCGAAAGGAATAATTAATTTGAAATGTATTTTATTATTTATAAGTTCCAAAAAGTTTGAATAACTCACTTGAGTACATATATTTATTTCTTTGTATTATTATATCCTAACGGAACGATCCCGAGCCACCTGCATTCACTAATGCCCTGTAATGCATTTGAGGTCGACATTTTTGTGGCGATCGTCATACACTGCGTTTGCATGCGTCATACACAGGCTCGCTACTCAAGAACCTTTCATCCTCATTGATTATCGGCTCTTTGTGTTATAGAACTAGCTCATTGCCACTTCAGCTTGCTTTTCCTTCAGGCTTTGTCCTGATTCTTCTGCGAATATATTTTATACATACATAAATATGAAAATACTAGGGTAAGAAAAAGATCAGAAGTAGTTTGAAATATTTTTAAAATAAATAACACTTGACATATTACACAGTACATAATATTGTTAGAAATTAATATTAAACGTATTTAAGTATTCATGGAAACTCGTGAACTTCACTCATCCTAAAACTTATAAGTAATACGAGTAATACTAATCAAATCAAAGAACATATCAAGATATTCTAAACTATGAAGAACTTTCGTGAAAGTTTACATTTACTTGGAAATGTTACGAATTCCCTTGATTAAATTAACAACGTCTTATTGATCTTTACTTCTTGAATAAAATTTAACAAATTATTTTAATCTTATAACATCCGTAACAAAAATCAACAATTCCTTGTTTATTTAAATTATGGTAAATTTCAATAATCCATTGTTTATTTTAATTATGATAAATATTAAAAATTCTTTATTAAATTAATTATAGATATCTAATAAAAATACCATACCATCACAATAATTTTATTTAAAATCACTTTTGTTTTTATCATAATTACAATCCTGGTCATTGTCTGAAAAATGTCCAACACTAATATATTGAGCTCCATAAGGTAACGACAAAAACTGAAATCTCATAAATTTCATATTAACTACCGGTATGTTTATCAGTATACGGTATCGGTAGGTTTATACAGCATCATAATGTTAATAGCTTAATATAAACGGCAATCTATAAAAAGAAGTCTTCAAAATCAATCCATGCTTGCATAAAACTAGTAACAAAATTAGATTGCTATCTCTTTATATGTGCATGAAAACATATCATTATTTCATTTCAAAACCTTCATTTATCTTGCCATCAATACTTTTTTTCTTTGATAGAAATGGCATATCCCAAAACCGTAAAGATTTCATCAACTCTTCCGCATCTTCAAAAGTTTGAGGCATATCTTTTCGTACAGTCTCCGGTAAAGTTAGAGCTATCACACCTCCAAGTCCAGCTACACATCCAATTATTACGTATGGTAACCAATAAATATAGGTTTCCAAATAAATAATATAAGGTGAAATCACGGTTGCAACGTAACTACAGATATGCGCAATTGAAGCACCAGATCCTCTAACAGCAACAGGCATCATTTCTGCCGTCCAAAGTGTAGTTGCACTGCCTGACATATTAACTGCAAATCTGGCTACAACAGCAAATAGTGTCGATATCCAACCATCACTGATAACCGTTATAATACTACATACGCAACTAACAAACAAAAATATCGAGGTCATCCATCTTCTGCCCATCCACTCCCCAATAAACGCGGCGATTATCATTGACGGAAACTCGGTAAATGAAACAATCGAAAATGTCAAGAAATAATCGAATTCCAATTGTTTAATATCTCTCACTAGTCCATCGAACACTATTGTACAACATATATACGTTAAACAAATAAAAATTAACATTCTTCTTAATGAAGGTCTTCTTAATAATTCCAAACAACTCGAATCTTCTTCTATTTTTGTTTTAGATGAAGTCATTTTAAACTTCTCTATAAGTATAGACGATATTTCTTTTTTATTTATTCGGCTTATTGTTACAACTTTTTCAATAGCATCGTCAATGCGTCCTTTTGATAATAACCATCTCGGACTCTCTGGTAAAAATAACGGAGTCAAAATAGCTAATGCCATTGGCAAACTTGTTACTAAAACTATAGTCTTCCAATGTCCACAAAGTAGAATTATCCACGGTAATACTGTAGCAGCTGGACCATAAAGAAGAGCGAATGCCATATACGATACAAAAGTCCTATACTTCGGTGCCATATACTCCAGGACTATTAAGTAAGCCATCATCATACAATTGTCATATGACATTCCCATAAAAAATCTGCATATTGAGAACTCAATAAAGTCTCTTGCAAATACACTAGCAGTGCCACCGATACATCCCAGTAAATTACTAATAACAACAGCTGGTATTCTACCATAACGATCAGCAATCCATCCAATGATAAAACCTCCAGTAATTGAACCAAGAAAGAATATTGCTTGAGCTGTCGCTTGATAGCTATTTTTGTCACAAACCCATCCAAGCTCGCTTGATATTGTCGGATATGGTATTTCACTTTTGTTGAACTCCCATCCGTGTTGGCAGGATTCAGTGGCCCACGTTTCATTAGGACTTTGACCAGTTAACAATATTTCAGTCCAATTGGCTACATACACAGTACACTGTGAATATCCAAAGTGAGCTCCATTGTCTAAAGGTATCGCAAGAGATCTTCGGTCTTCTGATGTTAAGTTTTGCAACTCGGGAACCCAACACCAATGGTTTGGTGATACTTCGGTAATAAATAGTTGTGAATAGTATGATATAGCACCGTATACATAAAATGGAAATGTTGAAAAGAAAAGCAATATTTGATAAAGACCAAATTCACCGGCTGATGATAATAATTCATCGTAATTCACTTCTTTAACTTGTAACTCTTTATTTTTTATCGAAACGTCTTCACTTACATCTTGCTGTGGATTCAAATTTATTTTATTTTGTTCAAATAAACTCATTATAAATGTTATTTTATTTAGTAGCACATACTTGTAGCATTCAAAATCTCTTTCGAAATGCTTGTCAAATGTTTTAGTTGATTTTTATATATCGTTGTACAGATGAATTATTTATTCTGTCACACTTACTATTTAATGAGCTTTACTTATCAATCTTAAATATAACACACAAAAATTATTATTTTTTGTGATATGCGCGTGAATACATTTGTTTCACACGTGCTGTTCCAACCACTAAACAGCTGTGTTTGTATGATTCGATTAGTTAGATCTCAACATAGCAACGAAATTACTAAGTTTGGCAACTGGAATTGGCAATAAATAAGATGTAAAGTTTATACTTAATTTTTGATTTATGTTATTGTTATTTTTTTTTTTTAGTATTTTCTTCCTTTGGTTTATTTAGATCACATTGCACATCTTTCTATGCATGCAACCTGTGGGCTGTATATACTCAAAAATCCTACAGCGACCTCCGTATCCAATATAGCGTAATAACGCGTTCAGGGTGTTGATGGGGCTGCCACGATTCTGCAGCGCGTCAGGGATGTTCGCCGAGCATCGTGTAGATTGTTTTTATGCCACGATGCGAAAAAGGTGTGCATCCCTGGTGCACAGAGTACGTGCCAGCACCAACATGATATGAGTATGATAGCAAGCAGGCTGGACTGTGTGTACGTTAATCGTTGCTGCGCAATTTCCAATGGAATTGTGCAGCGGTAATTATCTGTATACTGCTTAATATATTGTATGTGTGTGTATGTGTATTGTGTATGTAAATTTACTAACATTAGTTTTTAAGAATATTGTTACTAATAAATATTTAATGGACCAAAAAGTCTGAAAAATAAAAATTATTATTTTTTAAATTTCACTAAAATTCTCATCTCCCCTCTTAAGGAGAGGAGATGGCAACTAACCCCCGGCAGAAGCACAGTCGGCCGGGGTTCAGGGCCCCAGGGAGAGAAACCGGCGTACAATGCGGGCAGAATCTAAGAGCACCGCTTTCTGCATCTTTCCCGGGAGTGAGCCGCCGCGGAATCCCAACCGTCTGAGATGTTGTTCCAGACTGGTTGGGATAAGACCGTTCACCGACATAACGATTGGGATGATTTCGGTAGATGTCACTCCCCACATTTCGGTCACCTCGTGAGCCAGGTCGAGATATTTTCTCTTCTTCTCGGTTTCGGCTTTCACGAGGTTCTCGTCATGCGGTATGGTGACATCCACCAAAAACACCCTCAAGAGTGCCCGATCCATTACCACGATATCAGGTTTGTTCGCAAGAACGGTCCTGTCCGTGATGATGGATCGGTCCCAGTAGAGCCTTACGCTGTCGCTTTCGAGGACCGGCTGGGGCTTGTACTTATAGTACGGCAACCTCTCATTCGCGAGGCCGTACTTCAGAGCTAGCTCTTGATGGAGTATTTTGGCTACCTGGTTGTGTCTGTACAAGTACTCAGTGTTGGCAAGAGCTGAACAACCCGAAAGCACATGTCTGAGTGACTCTCCGGGATGGCGACATGCCCGACAGATGTCCTTGGTGCCATCCTTCAGAATGTGCTTTCGGTAATTGTTCGTCTTAACCACCTGATCCTGTATTGCACAGACAAAACCCTCGGTCTCTCCGAAGAGATCACCGAACTGTAGCCAGTGCACGGAGGTCTTCGTGTTTACGTACGGCCCGTGAAGGGCTTTGAAGAACCTTCCGTGCAACTCCTTCTCTTTCCAAAAAAATTATTATTATTATTATTTTTAAATTTTACCAAAATTCTCATCTCCCCTCTTAAGGAGAGGAGATGGCAACTAACCTCCGGCAGAAGCACAGTCGGCCGGGGTTCAGGGCCCCAGGGAGAGAAACCGGCGTACAATGCGGGCAGAATCTAAGAGCACCGCTTTCTGCATCTTTCCCGGGAGTGAGCCGCCTCGGAATCCCAACCGTCTGAGATGTTGTTCCAGACTGGTTGGGATAAGACCGTTCACCGACATAACGATTGGGATGATTTCGGTAGATGTCACCCCCACATTTCGGTCACCTCGTGAGCCAGGTCGAGATATGTTCTCTTCTTCTCGGTTTCGGCTTTCACGAGGTTCTCGTCATGCGGTATGGTGACATCCACCAAAAACACCCTCGAGAGTGCCCGATCCATCACCACGATATCAGGTTTGTTCGCAAGAACAGTCCTGTCCGTGATGATGGATCGGTCCCAGTAAACCTGACGCTGTCGCTTTCGAGGACCGGCTGTGGCTCGTACTTATAGTACGGCAACCTCTCATTCGCGAGGCCGTACTTCAGAGCTAGCTCTTGATGGAGTATTTTGGCTACCTGGTTGTGCCTGTGCAAGTACTCTGTGTTGGCAAGAGCTGAACAACCCGAAAGCACATGTCTGAGTGACTCTCCAGGATGGCGACATGCTCGACAGATGTCCTCAGTGCCATCCTTCAGAATGTGCTTTCGGTAATTGTTCGTCTTAACCACCTGATCCTGTATTGCACAGACAAAATCCTCGGTCTCTCCGAAGAGATCACCGAACTGTAGCCAGTGCACGGAGGTCTTCGTGTTTACGTACGGCCCGTGAAGGGCTTTGAAGAACCTTCCGTGCAACTCCTTCTCTTTCCATACGGCCTCCCGCTGAGAGGTACCCAAAACTTCGGGTTTTCGCCAGTCCTCTTTAGCCAGAGAAAGAGGGTGAATCCTTTGTCACATTCTATGACCTCTCTATGCAAACCCTCGTCTCTTTTCTCCAGAAAATATGTCCTGAGGCTGTCAATCTCGCGGTTGTGCATGGTCTTAACGCTTAACAAGCCTCGACCACCAGCTTTCCGCGGGATATACAGCCTCATGACTGACGATTTCGGGTGATGCATTCTATGGAGGGTCATAGTTGTGCGGACTTTCCGATCCAGGGCTTCGAGTTCGGTTTGAGACCATCTGAGCACGCCAAAAGTGTAAAGGAGTACGGGTATGACCCAGCCGTCATAAGCTCGGATTTTATTGGCGCCCGACAAAGAACTTTTCAGTACTCTTGTAAGGCGCGCAAAAAATTCCTCGCGGACTGACTGTTTCATATCCGTCTCCTTCACACCGATGTTTTGTGACATGCCCAGATACCGGTATGTTTCAGCCTCGGAGAGGGTTTTAATATTAGAGGGATCTGTGGCGATCCCTTCAGTTTGAGTGACCCGTCCCATCTCTGCACATGGAGGACCGCGCACTTGTCTATTCCGAGCGCCATCCTAATAGAGCTGCTATAATCGTTTACGATATTTAGCAGCTCCGTCAGGCGTTCGACGCCCGGAGCTAGCAGTTTCAAGTCATCCATGTACAGAAGGTGAGACACTCGTGTACCTCCTCTCCGATACTGAAATCCAGTCCCCGAATTCTCCAGTAAAGTACTGAGTGGATTCAGGGACAGGCAAAACCAAAGTGGACTCAAACAATCGCCCTGGAATATTCCCCTCTTTATCTCTATCCGGTCAGCGGTATCCGTCAATCGCTCGCCCTGGATAGTCAGGATCGTCGTCCACTGCCTCATGCATGCCTCCAAGAACACTCGAACTGTACCGTCGATCTTGTACAGCTCGAGTATCCCCGAGCCCTGAATGGGGCACGGAATCGAACGCCTTTTTATAATCTATCCAGGCGGCGGAGAAATTCCGACGGTTCCGCTTGACCACGTGCCCAGCGACAGCATCAATGAGGAGCAGCTCCTTCGATCCGCGGCTACTGCCCCTGCATCCGTTCTGAGCGCTAGATAGGATCTTATTCTCGTACACATGACGAGAGATCTTAGCGCTCAGAACGGATGTTAACGTCTTATATATTGTCGTAAGACAAGTGATGGGGCGATATTTAGATGGATCCGCGGTATCGTCCGTCTTAGGAGCTAAATGAGTGATCCCGGTTGTAAGGAAGTTCGGGAGCGTCCTGTTTTCGAGGGCACTCTGGAATTGCACGGCTAAGGTCGCATGGCTGGCCGAGAACGCCTTTAACCAGTAGTGCTGCAATCCGTCGATCCCCGGACTTTTCCAGTTCGGAGCCCGACGGATCGCGGCAACCACGTCTTCCTCCGTAATGGCAATGGCGTTCATCGGCGTTATTCGAGCACATGCTTCCTCAACATCGTGCATCCATGCGCCCTCCTCATGTTCCACAGGTTCAGACCACAGCTGTCTCCAGAAGGCGACGAAATTGGCTGTTTCGGGTCTTTGTCCTGTGGGCTGTAGTTTTGGGCGCTCCAAGTTCCTATAAAACTTCCGTTGATCACTCATAAATTATTATTATTATTTACATCGAATTGCTTATTTCTCAGCTTTTAGCGCTGGTAATTATACTACACTTACGGGTACGTGACCAAGTAAGTGCAGTGTGTATGTTTGAATGTTATAACAGCCTTTTGTAGGGAGATGTAGAGATTTTTTCGTAGACCTATTTGTTTTAGACTATGGTGTAAATGGTTGGGAATGACACCTGTAGATGAAAGGACTATCGGTACTATGTAAACTTTTTCCTGTTTCCAGATTCTTGTGATTTCATCTTTAAGTTCAGCGTATTTGTTAATCTTCTCAGCTATTGTTTTTTGGAGATTGTGTGTATTGGGAATTGCGATATCAATAAGGTAAGTTATTTTATTTATTTTGTCTTGTAGGGTAATATCCGGTCTATTATAATGGATGGTCCTGTCGGTAAGTATGGCTCGATCATAATATACTTTACATGTTAAATTTTCCAGCACGGTTTGTGGGGTATATTTATAATATGGAGTGTTTGTGTCTTCAATAAGCTTGTGTTTCTGTGCTAGGGTTTGGTGAATGATGTTGACTATCTGATTATGTCGGTGTGTGTAATCAGTTTGTGTAAGACTTACACATGCCCCTGTTATATGTTGAATTGTTTCAGGCTGAATATGGCATTTGCGACACTTATCATTAGATATGGTTGGATCTTTAATAATAAATTTTCTGTAATTTTTGGTGTTTATGATTTGATCTTGTATTGCAATTAAGAACCCTTCTGTTTCTGGGAATAAATTGCCTATTTTCAGCCATTGATTCGATGCCGTTTTGTCTATATGTGTTTGTTCTAGATCATGAGGGTGCCTTCCATGTAGTGTTTTTTTCTTCCAATTTTCTATTTTTTTATTTTGCAGTTCACTAATTGTAGAAATTTCTGTATTTGTTTGATTATTTAGGTTTAGGGGAGTGTAATTTTGGTCATTTTGGACGATTGCTTTGTGTAAAGTACCAGTGTTAGATTTTGAACGAAAGAAGGTTCTTAGTCCTGTTATTTGTTTTTGCCACATGTGACTTATATCTATTAGACCTCTGCCTCCGTTCTGTCGTTTAATAGTAAGTCTTTCTATAGCAGATTTAGGATGCAAGTTGTTATGTTTCGTAAGTATGGTTCGAGTAGTTCTTTCTATTAGTTCTATATCAGTTTTTGACCACCTTATAATGCCAAAAGAGTATATTAAGATCGGAATAGCATAGGTGTTAAAGGCTTTTATAAGATTTTTGCTAGAAAGTTGGGATTTGCATATTGAGTTTATACGTTTTCTATACTCTGTTATTAACTGCTGTTTTATCGAAGTGTGATCAAGACCTTTTAACTGGTTATACCCTAAATACCTATATACTTCGTTTGGCTCTAAAGCTGTAATTGTATTGTTATCATCGATTGTGTAGTTGCCGAGTTGTACCTTATCTCTAATAATATGTACTGTTTTACACTTTTCTAGTCCAAATTTCATGTTAATATCTTTACTAAAATTTGTAGTGACTTCTAAAAGCTTTTTCATTTCTTTATCTGTTTTAGCATATAATTTTATATCGTCAACATATATGAGATGTGAGATAATTGTTTGTTGGGCGGTGTTTTGTAGAGGATATCCAACTCGGCAACGATGCAGTAAGTGAGATAGGGGGTTTAGTGCTAAGCAAAACCACAATGGACTCAATGAATCGCCTTGATAAATGCCTTTCTTGATAATTATCTGTCGCGTTTTAATTATTTTTTTATTAGTGCTTAATTGTAGTGTAGTTTTCCACAGTGGCATTATGTTACGTAAAAAGTCTATTATTTTGGAGTTTATTTTATAAATCTGTAATATTTTTAATAACCAAGAATGTGGAAGACTATCAAAGGCTTTCTGGTAATCAATACCAGAAAGCCTTTGATACAGTGTAGATTTCTGTTTTTTATTTTAGCATGTTTATGGATAGTAGAATCTATAACTAATTGTTCCTTGCATCCCATGTGGCCCCGCCTGCATCCCTTCTGTTCCTCTGCTATTATATTATGGTGTTCTATATGTGCGTTGATTTTAGTTGCGATTGCTGACGTCAGAATTTTATATATCGTTGTTAAGCATGTGATTGGCCTGTATTTGGATGGTTCTGAGGAAAATTTTGTTTTTGGTAGCATGTAAGTTATTCCTATTGCAATAAATTCAGGTATATCCTGTTTACCTAATATAACGTCTGTTAGATTTTTTGCTAAAGCTTTGTGTAATGATATTAATTTTTTATACCAAAAGTTATGTATTTTGTCTATACCAGGTGATTTCCAATTATGAAGTTTTCTCGTAATGTCTGCGATATCAATCTCTTTTATTTCATTAAACTCCATTTCTTCAATAGTATTCCACATTTTCTTTTCTTCCTCTATCCAATCAGCTTTGTCATTGTAGTGTATTTGTTCTTCCCAAATGTTAGACCAAAATGTTTCTAATTGCGTTTGTGTTGGTAATTCTAAGTTTTCTTCAGCAATCATGTTAGTTTCTAATTTATGCAAGTTTTTATAAAATAATTTTTCGTTAGTTTCAAATATTATGTTGTCCCTTTTCCTTTGCATTGCTTTCTTATATCTCCTGAGTCGATGAACTTTCAGTGCTAAAGTCTGTTTGAGGGTGTCTAAAAATTCTTCAGGCTTTCTGTTCTGATTTTCATGTCTCGTGTGTGTTGTTCTACTCTTGAAAATTGCTTCAACTCTTTTAATAATTTTATTTGATCTATTGTTATTAATATATTGAGTCAGTCTGCCGCAGTCTGACTATTATTATTTTTAAATTTTACCAAAATTCTCATCTCCCCTCTTAAGGAGAGGAGATGGCAACTAACCCCCGGCAGAAGCACAGTCGGCCGGGGTTCAGGGCCCCAGGGAGAGAAACCGGCGTACAATGCGGGCAGAATCTAAGAGCACCGCTTTCTGCATCTTTCCCGGGAGTGCGCCGCCTCGGAATCCCAACCGTCTGAGATGTTGTTCCAGACTAGTTGGGATAAGACCGTTCACCGACATAACGATTGGGATGATTTCGGTAGATGTCACCCCCCACATTTCGGTCACCTCGTGAGCCAGGTCGAGATATTTTCTCTTCTTCTCGGTTTCGGCTTTCACGAGGTTCTCGTCATGCGGTATGGTGACATCCACCAAAAACACCCTCGAAAGTGCCCGGTCCATCACCACGATATCAGGTTTGTTCGCAAGAACAGTCCTGTCCGTGATGATGGATCGGTCCCAGTAGAGCCTGACGCTGTCGCTTTCGAGGACCGGCTGTGGCTCGTACTTATAGTACGGCAACCTCTCATTCGCGAGGCCGTACTTCAGAGCTAGCTCTTGATGGAGTATTTTGGCTACTTGGTTGTGCCTGTGCAAGTACTCTGTGTTGGCAAGAGCTGAACAACCCGAAAGCACATGTCTGAGTGACTCTCCGGGATGGCGACATGCTCGACAGATGTCCTCAGTGCCATCCTTCAGAATGTGCTTTCGGTAATTGTTCGTCTTAACCACCTGATCCTGTATTGCACAGACAAAACCCTCGGTCTCTCCGAAGAGATCACCGAACTGTAGCCAGTGCACGGAGGTCTTCGTGTTTACGTACGGCCCGTGAAGGGCTTTGAAGAACCTTCCGTGCAACTCCTTCTCTTTCCATACGGCCTCCCGCTGAGAGGTACCCAAAACTTCGGGTTTTCGCCAGTCCTCTTTAGCCAGAGAAAGAGGGGTGAATCCTGGCCCACGTTTGTCACATTCTATGACCTCTCTATGCAAACCCTCGTCTCTTTTCTCCAGAAAATATGTCCTGAGGCTGTCAATCTCGCGGTTGTGCATGGTCTTAACGCTTAACAAGCCTCGACCACCAGCTTTCCGCGGGATATACAGCCTCATGACTGACGATTTCGGGTGATGCATTCTATGGAGGGTCATAGTTGTGCGGACTTTCCGATCCAGGGCTTCGAGTTCGGTTTGAGACCATCTGAGCACGCCAAAAGTGTAAAGGAGTACGGGTATGACCCAGCCGTTATAAGCTCGGATTTTATTGGCGCCCGACAAAGAACTTTTCAGTACTCTTGTAAGGCGCGCAAAAAATTCCTCGCGGACTGACTGTTTCATATCCGTCTCCTTCACACCGATGTTTTGTGACATGCCCAGATACCGGTATGTTTCAGCCTCGGAGAGGGTTTTAATATTAGAGGGATCTGTGCCGATCCCTTCAGTTTGAGTGACCCGTCCCCTCTGCACATGGAGGACCGCGCACTTGTCTATTCCGAGCGCCATCCTAATAGAGCTGCTATAATCGTTTACGATATTTAGCAGCTCCGTCAGGCGTTCGACGCTCGGAGCTAGCAGTTTCAAGTCATCCATGTACAGAAGGTGAGACACTCGTGTACCTCCTCTCCGATACTGAAATCCAGTCCCCGAATTCTCCAGTAAAGTACTGAGTGGATTCAGGGACAGGCAAAACCAAAGTGGACTCAAACAATCGCCCTGGAATATTCCCCTCTTTATCTCTATCCGGTCAGCGGTATCCGTCAATCGCTCGCCCTGGATAGTCAGGATCGTCGTCCACTGCCCCATGCATGCCTCCAAGAACACTCGAACTGTACCATCGATCTTGTACAGCTCGAGTATCCTCCGGAGCCATGAATGGGGCACGGAATCGAACGCCTTTTTATAATCTATCCAGGCGGCGGAGAAATTCCGACGGTTCCGCTTGACCACGTGGCCAGCGACAGCATCAATGAGGAGCAGCTCCTTCGATCCGCGGCTACCGCCCCTGCATCCGTTCTGAGCGCTAGATAGGATCTTATTCTCGTACACATGACGAGAGATCTTAGCGCTCAGAACGGATGTTAACGTCTTATATATTGTCGTAAGACAAGTGATGTGGCGATATTTAGATGGATCCGCGGTATCGTCCGTCTTAGGAGCTAAATGAGTGATCCCGGTTGTAAGGAAGTTCGGGAGCGCCCTGTTTTCGAGGGCACTCTGGAATTGCACGGCTAAGGTCGCATGGCTGGCCGAGAACGCCTTTAACCAGTAGTGCTGCAATCCGTCGATCCCCGGACTTTTCCAGTTCGGAGCCCGACGGATCGCGGCAACCACGTCTTCCTCCGTAATGGCAATGGCGTTCATCGGCGTTATTCGAGCACATGCTTCCTCAACATCGTGCATCCATGCGCCCTCCTCATGTTCCACAGGTTCAGACCACAGCTGTCTCCAGAAGGCGACGAAATTGGCTGTTTCGGGTCTTTGTCCTGTGGGCTGTAGTTTTGGGCGCTCCAAGTTCCTATAAAACTTCCGTTGATCACTCATAAAGAGGCGATTCTGTTGATACCTCTCAAATTATTATTATTATTACTATTATATATTATTATTATATAGTAAACTATCAGCTCGTCCTATATTCTGTTATATAAAAAAAAATGCATCTACAAAGATAAGACTTCTCCAAAATTCTACGGAAATTAAAGATAAAAGCACTACGGCCTCTGTATATTCGTTCCAATCTCGTCAATCTTACTTAACCTCTTTATAAACAGGTTTTCCATAATTTTATCCACGTGAACTATGTAACTACTTAGTACTTAGCTACTGATAATGTTATTTGTAGAGAATGGCGACCAAAAGTATGAAGATAAGATAAACAATTTTATATATTTCCAAACAGAGAACAGCAAATAAATGTAGAATGTAAATAGTGTATACCTTATTATATACGAAATGCCTACATAATGTTCATGAGAAACCACTATAGGCGTATTTCCGTCTTTAAATATGAAATTAATCTCGCCGACTGCGATATCTTCTACTCCAAGTGAATGTATTTTTATAAAATTTCTTGACGTACCAACATTATATCTCATTTTCTTGTCATCCGTTTACTTTTTTTTTAAACTGTTACAAATATCACAGCAGCTGGCGATGTACTTAGTGAAAAATAATAACCATCACCAGGCATGAAGAATATTATTAAGAATACAAAATATTCTGTACTGTTTATTTTTTATTATCAAATTTATTATCTTTATTAGCGCATTTCATCATCATCATCATCATGTCAACCATTATCCGTCCACTGCTAGACATAAGCCTCCCCCTTAAACTGCCATAAAGAACAGTCCTCAGCCACCTGCATCCACTGACTCCCTGCAATACTTTTCAGATCATCACTCCATCTAGTGGGAGATCGTCTTACACTGCGTTTGCCCGTACGCGGTCGCTACTCAAAAACCTTTCTTTCTAATCACTTGTTGATTCTTCGAGCTATGTGACAAGCCCATTTCCACTTCAGCTTGCTTATCCTTCGTTATTATTTTACTAAAAATGTATTATGAACTACAGAAAATTTTAAGTTTATTTTCTACTGATAGTAATATGAAATAACTCGTTACTTATATTATTTCTAAAAATACGAAATGAATTTGAAATGCACTGTACATTTTAAATTAGAGTTTGTATTTTTAAATCCACACAAAGAGACTCGTGAGCACGTATAAAATAAATTGAGAAAGTAACTTTGTTGATTTACTATATGGACCATGGTATTAAATGCTAAGAATTATTAAATCAACTATTACATTAATCGTAATAATGGTTGAATATAATGCCTCTGTCCGCAATTCAATCCAGAACCATAAATGTATTTATTTATCTTAAAATAAAACAAAACTAACAGTTTTTAAAATATTTTATTATTATCATTATGTAATGATTTCGACAGAAATCATCTTTCATTCAGTTTTGGGTGTTATCAGATCTCAAAACTCTCATTTATATTTCCCTCGGCACTATTTTTCTTTGACGTTTGTAAGAACGGTACCTCCCAAAATCTTAAGGATCTTACCAAATCTTCAGCATCTTCAAATGTTTGAGGCATGTCTTTTCCTGCGGTTTCCGGTAGGACCAAAGCAAGAACTCCGCCAAAACCAGCTATACAGCCAATCAAGATCAAAGGTAACCAGTATATGTATGTTTCTAAATAAATAATGTATGGAGATATTACAGTGGCAACATATCCGCAAATGTGGACTATCGAGACAGCAGATCCTCTAACTGTAACAGGCATCATTTCCGCAGCCCACTGCATAGCAGCGCTGTACGATATATTAACTGCGAATCTGGCTATAACAGCGAACAATACCGATGTTAATCCACTGGTGAAAACTGTCAGTATTGAAAAAATAAAACTTATAAACATAACAATTGAGGAAAGCCATCTTCTTCCCATCCAGTCCATTACGAAGGCTGTTAAAACGGAAGATGGAAACTCAGTAAATGAGACCAATGAAAATGTCAGGAAGTAATCGAATTCTAACTGTTTAAGACTTCTCACTAGACCGTCAAATACTATCGTACAACACATATATTCTACACAGATACAAATAAACATACGTCTGAGTAAAGGCCTCTTTAATATTTCTAAATTGCTATCACTTTTTTCTACTGTTATCTTCGAGGCAGAATTTTTAAACTGCTCTATTAATTTTTGTGAAATTTCTTTCTTATTAATTCGTCCTATTGTAAGAACTTTTTTAATGGCGTCGTCAATGCGTCCTTTTGATAGTAACCATCTTGGACTCTCTGGTATAAAAAATGGAGCCAAGATAGCTAACGCCATCGGCAAACTTGTTACCAAAGCTATGGTCTTCCAGTGACCACAAAGTAAGACTATCCATGGTAAAGCTGTAGCAGCTGAACCATAAAAGAGAGCGAATGCCATATTCGATACATAGCTCCTATACTTTGGCGCAACATACTCCAGTACTATTAAGTAAGCCATCATCATGCAATTATCATACGCCATTCCCATAACAAATCTAGATAAGGAGAACTCGATCAAATTTGTCGCGAACATGCTTATAATGCCGCCGATGCATCCCAATAAATTACTACTGACGATTGCTGGTAATCTACCGAAACGATCAGCAATCCATCCGACAATAAAACCTCCAGTGATAGATCCAAGGAAGAATATTGCTTGAGCTGTCGCTTGATAGCTGTTTTTATCACAGACCCAACCAAGATCACTTGATATTGTGGGATATGGTATTTCACTTTTGTTGAACTCCCACCCGTGTTGACACGGTACAGTATCCCATGTTTCATTAGGTGTTACCTCATTTAATAATACTTCAGTCCAATTAACTTTATATGCTTGACACTGCGAATATCCAAAATGTGCATCAATATCCGAAGGTATAGCCAAAGTTCTACGTTCAAGAGCTGTTAAATTCTCTAACTCGGGAATCCAACACCAATGGTTCGGTGATACATCAGTCATAAACAGTTGTGAATAATACACGAAAACACCAAATACGTAGAATGGAAATGTAGAGAAAAACAAAATTATTTGATAGCGTCCAAATTCACCAGCCGATGATAATAAGTCATCGTAATCCACTTCTTCATTTCTTGTTTTGTTCTCTGATATTCGTGAATTTTCAACGTTCCCAAGCCGTAATTCGCTTGTTGCATTTTCTATTTTTATTTTAGCCATTTTTGTTTCTTATGATTTAATGTTTAAAAAAATATTTTGTTAAACGTTTAGCACTTTTAGCAGCTCTTTCTTATGTCTTTATGAGATAGGACTATATCAGTTGAACAATATATAACGTCATTTCGTAATTTTCTTAGATAGTATTCTATTATTAATATTTACTATTTGTAGAAGCATTATTTGTTAATCCTCTTAATATAAAGTGTGTAACGTAATACGTTTATAATTGCAATTATGTATTGTGTAATTTATTTAACTATAATATAAATAGTATACATTATCTTTCACGTGATTTATGGAATATTTTAATGCAATGTGACGTTATTTTATAACTTAATCGCTATTCTCAACATCATCAAGTAATATGTGCTATTTTGTAACATTTTATAACTGATGACTGTCCTGTAAGTCATCGGCGAAGTCTAGAATTAGGGAATGACTGCTCAACGTCCATTGGTCAATATTAAGTTTCTGGTATCGATCGTTTTGGCCTGATAATGTCTCGTCTAGTTGTGTCTAGATGATGCATAGTCTTTCAATTAATATAGCAATATAGATGTAGTCAATGCAGTCACAGATTGATAATTGGTAAAAAGATCATACCTAAACGGTAGTAAGATGAGTCCTCCGCGCTAAAGGTAGGTAATCACATATCAATTGTAGCGAAATTAAAATAACACTAATCAAATAACCGAAGGACCTAATTATCTAGTGTTTCCAAGAAAAAGGATTGTTAATAATGGAGTCTAATAGCTCCATTGTTAGCAGTATACACTATCAGGTCGATTCCCCTTGGAAACCATCTTGGTCTTGGCAAATTCGTCACGAGGGGCTAACTGACCTGACCTTAACCTCAGCCAATTGCTCCGCTATTGCTCCGTCAAAGTATACCGATAATGCATGCATTTTTACCTCATTAGAAAAAAAAAAATTGTGTTTCCATACTTGAAATTATCTGTGACAAAGTTGATCACTATGTGATAGTGAGCTAATCGCTTTGCACAAATGACGTACTGGATTAGTTTCTCGGGCAAGATTTTTGTTCTAAATTGATCTAATTCCGGACACTTTCAGTTGCGGTATCAAATGTTGATTATTCTGATTTTAATTTCACGGACATTGAAAAAAGAACTATTTTATCTATCATATAGAAGTTATTATTGTTTGTCACTTAAAAAAAATTCTTAACCCTAGCAATGTACCTGATACATATCCAAGTACACCCTTATACTCAAAATGTAATTTCATTTATAATATAAACTACGTAAAAGTATGAATAAATGTAACTTAATCATAATTTCATTTAAAACAAATATCCTATTCATATTTATGCTAAATTGAATCCATCATTGATCCACAATCTCTTTTGAAACCACACCCTTATTTTGTATGTATGATGTATAAATACCATTACATCGTATTTCATTATATTACGATGAAATTGCTCGTAGTAAACGTCCAATTTAAATACAACTATGGATTAATACATTCAATATGGGAAAGAAGGCCTTCCTTTTGTGGATATTTTAACAAATATAGAAAGATCCCTCTTGACTTTTGTTATGATTTGATTTGAGAATCAGCTTAAAATGGATGGTTATAGTGAAATGAAAATTCAGTAATGACGTAATATATGAATAATATAGCCTATATCCGTATAGTTCTACAGGACGGACTTTAAAATCCGTTCTCTTCTACTACTAGAATAGAAAAGACTCCATCTTGTACATTGTATTATACATACAATGTATCCTGTATAGTTAAACATTTATAACAATTGTTTTGTTTATAAGGTAATTATTAGCTCTTTTCGACCGACTTCAAAAGGAAGAAAGTTCTCAATTCGGTTGTAATTTTTTTTTTATATTAGTTACCTCATATTTCCGTCACCTATAAACCGATTTAGATTTTTTTTTAACTGAATATATTTACATATTGATTCCATAAAAATGATCTCATCCATTTTTAAGTTAATCAAAAAATATCTAAGAACTTTATGATTATGCTTTATACTGCTCGTGTCTATAGGCGACGGTTACCACTTTCCATCAGGTGGGCAGTCAGCTTGTTTGCCATTCTACTTTTTTTTAAAAAGAAACAAGATATTAAAGTATTATTCTTTTTTTATCCATCTTAGAATGGCAAACAAACTGTCGGCACACCTAATGAAAAGTGGTAACAGTCGCCTATATTCTACCGGCCCCGGCTTCATACGGATATACTAATGAGGAAAATAAGATTTCGAAATCAAATCTTCTCTCTCACTCACATGCACATTTTTTATATGAAAAACATTTCCTTTCATACAAACCTTGTCCTGAGTATTACAAATACAACAAAAAAAAATGAATTAGCCAAATACGTGCAGCCGTTCTGAAGCGATGTTCTACCATCATCAGCCTTCACCATATCAGCCTTTAAGTGTCCACTGCTGAACACAAGCCTCCCCCTAGGGGAGTTTTGCCAATAGTTGCCACGCTTAACAGACAGGTTGGCAACTGCAGTTCGACTTTAAAGATATTTTAAGAGAGACTCTGCTGCCCATCCCACGCCCTCCCTTAGCCGCCTCTTACAATACCCACGAGAAAGGAAGGAATGGCCTTTTCTATGCTGGGACCGCACGGCAATGATGATGTGCTTACATACATATAGACAAAATATTTGTATAATATATTTACCCTTTTTACGCGATAAAATATGAAAGTTATTATTCAAATGATATTCGGAAGCGTGGCCATTAGAAATTGTATTCGAAGCGTGGCTTATCAAAACGAGATTTGAATGGAACAGTTGGGGTTTACGAGTTTTACATATTATCAGGTATATACTTAATGGGAGATCTTCTAGATCAAGTGTTATTTTGTTTGTATTCACCGGTTAGAATCTCTAGATTGTGTAGCTTTCTGTCGATGAAAAAAATTTTTAAATCGGTTTAGTGTTTTTGAATTTATTCTAACAAACGAACATACAAAAAATCAAATATTTCCTCTTTACATAATTGGTAATTTTTTTTTTTATTTATTTCAAAAGATGTATTCACGAATTGGTCTCATAGAAATTTTATCGAAATCGCTTCAGTAGTTTAATTTTTTAAATCAAAATCATTGTCTTAACCAGAATTAAAATCGATTTTTGTTTGTTGAATACAAGCTTTATATTAAGTATAAATAATATATACATTAAACCTCCTTTTTTTCATTTCCATAATATTTATGACAATATCGAATGACTTTTTTTATTCAATTTTATAACTCGTGAAAATAAATATAGAAAGTATTTTTGAATATTAACAAATAGAACAGATGCTACTAGTTTTCGGTATAATCTCTTACTTACACACAAATCATCCGCAGTCGCCATCCATTATCCTAAAGTGACTGCAGTTATCTCTAACAGTAATCCTCTCTGTCCACTAAATAAACCGGGCTTGCTGCGATCTTGGGTATAAATCTAACAAGATTGAAATAAAACATACTGAAAAGTAAATTTATCTTTTCTACGCAATTCGACCGTTGTGGGATCTTTTAAAACATGCACAGACTATTTCGTTGTAGAAGAATTATGAGCGCGTAATTTTTAAACGTAAAAATAAATAAATAAATTTAACCGGTTATTTAATTAGAATTGTTTTGTTTAATTCCACTATCATTAGTATGTGTGGTACTGCCAACACTCAAAGGTTGACCTCCACTATTACTCGCTCGATCTAAAAGTTTACCTGAAGATGCTTCGTCTAGAGGTGAAACATGTGTAGCAATGTGTGTAAACAAAATGGCAGTCGAAAATTGATAGGCTAATATTTTGGAAGGTTTTGGAACTTCTGGTAATAATAGTAGTGGCCAATCTTCGATTGTTAGCAGTCACACACATATCAATGGTAGCGGAATTAAACAAAATAATTCACACAGTCACAGATATACTAATGGTAGCGGAATTAAATAAAATAATGAAGTAACCAAACAATTCTAAAATAATACACGCATTATGAAGGTATAATATATGGCAAGCGCTACAAAAGCAGCGGCATCACACGACGCATCATACCACCTGTATGCACATAGCACCAAGTCAGCGCAACGCGCCGGCGAATCTACAAGGAAAAACGATGGTTCACGACTTCACTTTTGATGCACACATTAGTCAGTAATCACGTCTTTATACTGTAATTGGAATTAAGTTTAAAATTAAAGTAGTGTTATTTTTTTTTTATTTTTTTACATCCTTCGACTGAATTGTTTTTATCTCGCGTATGACAAATTTTACGACTGGTGTGAGTAAACAAATAAAATGACACACATATTTATAATATACGTAAAGACGTAGCTACGTCTTGTGGATTTATCCGCGGAAATCAGTAAACACATAAAGTATACTAAATGCTAAGTTAGGATGCTAAGTTACCTAACCATGTACTAAATTTCATTCAAATCCGTTCAGTAGTTTTTGCGTGAAAGAGTAACAAACATCCAATCATCCATGTTTGTTAAACATCATCTATCCATCGTTACAAACTTTGCATTTATAATATTAATAGAATATGTATATTTTATATTATTATTTGCCAAATTGTGAAACTGATAAACCTTTTAATTATATATATATATATATATATATATATATATATATATATATATATAACTTAAGATTGCAGAACTTAAATAAGAATTATATAAATTAAAAAAATCGTTGCCTTACATTCGCGATACAAAGGAAGCTATCTCCAAATTATGTATCCATCATTTTACGTTGCCATGCAACGACTCTTGAATCGTCAATCCCATTCTTCTTTATATTCGAACCCAAATCTACTATCTTTGAAGCTTCCATAAAAATATTTGTAGCACTTTCGTAGATTATCTGAGCGGCCGGCCTCTACCGATGAAAGGCTAAGTGGGTAAACTTTGTTAACAACCCGTACGATCCTTTTAACCGACTTTTGGAAGGAACTATTATGATTTCTTATATAATAATAATGGCAACCCTAAACCGGACTAATCGCTTGATCCACAAAAAAGGATAAGCACTCGTAACTGTTGAGTTTCTTGTGGGTTCTTCTCAGTAAATAACACCCCGAACTCAGCTGTACAGTCCTAAAAAA